TGAATTCCATTGAGCCTTATCTACTGCCAATTTGCGTTGACCATTACTAGTTCAGATTCTTGTAGAGTGTGTTAGCATTCAATAAACCTGTATTCATTTGAATCACTCTGAAATCTATCTTCTGATTTCTTATGCTTGACATTAACTTTGAGTGACCACTAATCTATTCAAGCTATAGAAGGGAATAGGAACATAACATCTTAAACTTTATCCTGAAATAAGTCATTTTAGAAAGAAAACAGGTGGGAAGAACCTCCTTTGGATGGATTCTTCTGTATATCCACTGCTTCACAGCAGTTTCATGATTAGAATAGTGATATTGACAGCTATAACATAAAATTTCTATTGTTTGATGTCTTTTTTTCTGTTGTAGAAGTTTCTATAAATGAGAGCTTGTTCTTCATTATAGGTGTCTTGTGTTAGAATTTTCTAGCAAGAATTCACTGATTTTTATACACACATTTATTTTTTAGGCTTAAGATTTCCCATCTTTAAAATGAAATACATAAAGATAAATAATTTCTCTATATAAAGCTGCTTTCCCAAAAAAATTTCTCTTCCTGTGGTAAATTACAACAAAAATGCATTTGGGATTAGGAGTGTTCATTGGTTTGGTTTAAAGGCCATTAAAAAGTTTTCAAGTTCAATTCATCCAGCAATGAATTGATAGAGATATCCATGCAGCTGTCTTGGATTTGCAGATACTTTATTCTGGTATGTGTTCTCAACTATCTGGGACATCCTGGTGAATTTCCATACAATTAATACTCAAGTTTGATCCCAAATCTAATCAAATATAGGTAGCTATGTCATCTAACTAGTTATTACTTTTGTATGTCTGCATTCATGTATATTAAGTTAAATATAGAGGATTTTTAATCCTTTGCTGCTTCTGGCATGCAATCCATATTGGAATCCCTTAGTTTGGATATATAATATTTTATACATAATTCTTGGAAATTTAAAGTATTGGTTGGTCAAATAATCACAACAATCCATAAATACATTGGTATCAACAGATAGAGCCCACAGAAGTTGAATATATTATTGGTACAAAGAGGTGGAATAGCTGAGTTCAAATGCAAGTTCCAAGTCAAATTAAACCCCGACAGTTCCCTGATATAATACTTAAAGTATGTTTTTCATTTCAAAAAGAGTATCAGGAATCACATTGAAGACCTGAACTTCATTGATGAGGAACCAGAGGAAATGTCGAATAAAATGAAATTGGTAGTTAAGACTGAATGAAAGCAATCCAATGTCAAACAAGGAGTGGAAATTGCCATTTGGAAAAGACATTCCAAGTGACATGAAGTGTTTATAACGACAAAGACCAGAATTGCTCATACAATGTTTTCTTCATGTCACTTTATGAAAATAAAAATTGGAAAGAGTTGGATAGAAAGAGTATGAATGCTTATGAACTTTAATAATGGAGAAAATAGTTGATAATACTATAAATAACTAGTTCTCCATGGAGATTTTTGATCATTTTTGATTGTTCCAAAGGAGCTTTTTCCAAAGGGCAACTGGACTTTCTGTTTCCTAATATGATTTGATTGCTTATTGTACCCTATGACTATTATTAAGTGCTGTACCTTATGATTCTTGACTCTTGACGAATGTATCATTTCTTTTATGTACAAGACAAATTCCTTGTGTGTCCAATCACACTTGGCCAATAAAGAATTCTATTCTATTCTATTCTAAACTGGACTTTATTGGTTTTTTCCCCTTTGGAAACATTTGGCTTCTCATCTAAGAAGCTTCTTCAGTTCTAACTGACCGATGGGAAATTTCACTGTAATCAGAACTATAAATAATAAGATTTTGAGAGAAATTGTGGCCAAATACTTTAAAAAGTAAACAAGTTTTTTTGTTTGTTTTTAAAAGTCCATTAGGTTGGCAGTATATACTCTATTTCAAAGGATGCAGAATCATCCTTTTATCAGAAGAAATTACACTTTTTTACATAGTATGTTTTATTAAAAGCTGTAAGATTTTCTGACCTATTCATCTCTATTTCATCTATTCATAAAATATGTTTCTTAGAATTATGGCATTTTTCTGAAACTGTTCTGTGATGACAGGATCTTCCTGAAAGAAAAGAGAAAGAGAAAATCCCATTCTACCTGAAGAATTGGATACTGTACTTTCTGTACCTCCCACCCCCAAATAATAATGTGTAACTCAAAAATACTTACTAATGTATGATACAGTACATAGGCTGGGTTCTCATGCTATATTAAACTATATAGAAGTTTACTTTGGGTTTAACATGCCGTATGACCCCACACACTGAAGAGTGTTAATCATAGTTGACAGCTTATAATGCAATGCCAATCTTGGTATTAATATAATTTACAGAGAAACTATGGCAAGAAAGCCATGATTTAGTTTGATATGTAAGCTAATTCTTGATTTTTTTAGAGACACAGATTCAGAAACCTTTTACTGGAGTCAAGGCAAAATTGATCTGCCTATACTTGCTACATATGGGACAGATACACGTTGGCAAATATAACATTATAACAAAACCTAATTAGAACAAAGCCCAAAGTAAGTTGTGGCAAATATACTTTGAATAACATGAATTAAAATCATACTATTTATGTATTGTTTTGAATTATATTTGGAATCCAAGTAAGCCCAGTGATCTTAGGCATTGCTTTTATATACTAAAGAGAGGTAGTATTTACAACAGTTCAGTCAGTGACCGTTTGAAGTTACAACGGAATCGCAAAAAGTGATTTATGACCATTTTTCATACTTATGACCCTGGCAACATCCCCTTGGTCACATGATTTACATTTGGATGCTTGACAACTGGTTCATATTTATGACAGTTGCAGTGTCCTGGGGTCATGTCATGTTACCCAGGGGTGGGATTCAAATTTTTTAACAACTGGTTCTGTGGGCGTGGCTTAGTTGGTGGGTCTAGCTTGGTGGTCATGTGACTGAGTGGACGTGGCCAACTCAACATCACTCATGTCAAGGGGCGCTTCTCTTCACCTGGCCTTTCATGACAGTGGGGATGCTGCAATGGTCATAAGTGTGAAAAATGGTCATAAGTCATTTTTTTCAGTGCCATTGTAACTTTGAATGGTCACTAAATGAACTGTTGTAAGTCAAGGATTACCTGTACAAAACTACAAAAAGCTTCTTTGCTTGCAAAAAGTTGACCTAAATACCAATCATTAGATTAAAAATACCTGCAAGCCAGAGTTACAAATCAGACGGTGCCAAGCACTTTGAGGAATAAAAATAGTTAAAATACAATGATAACTATCAGCAGCCAACTCTTCATCATAAAGAGAAACGTCATTTAAGCTCTCCAGAGGTCATTGTGGAGAGGTCATTTAAGCTCTCCAGAAAGAGCACACCCAGGAGAAGCAATCCTTAGATCATTTGCACCAGTTAAAAATACCAGCTGGTCTCACTCACTTCATAAGATATCCTAAGGAAATCATCCAGATTTAAGGAAAGGTCACATGCCCCCCAGAAAGGCAGTAAAAAAAATCAGTGCCAAGCTTGCATCCTGCCTCTTGGAAGTACACCCCAAAAGGACAGTGCCAGATACCACTAAAGCAGTGAAGGAAGACCCCCTCCTCAGATAGAAAAAGAAACCATGAGGCAGGAAAAAATTCAAACACAATACAAATAATTAAATCACAACAGTAGCTGTTGCTTATTAAACCAATTACCAGAACAAATAGACACGGGAACTAGCAGATTTCTCAAACCAGTTTCTTTTCAGGAACAGAGATTAATCTTTTTCCTTCCAAACAAAGCTGAATAGGGAAAATTATCCCATCAATAAACACAGGATTAAACGTCATCAAGCACAGAATTAAACTTCACCAAAAACCAGTTTTAGACCAAAACTGAGAAAGGGTATGTAAACTCACGTTTGAATGTCAGTCTTTCTAGCTAGCCAAGAAGAAGTATTTGCAGGGGAGTATTTCCTAACAACAGCAGTGTAAAAAGCTTAAAACAACTCTTCCCTTTAAGAAAAAAAAAAACCTCCTTCGAAGACAGTAAGTCTAGGCTGTCTGCCAAGAATGTAAAACGGGTGGAAAAAAACAAAAGGAGATTTCTTCTAACTACCGGTTCTCTAAACTGCTTAGAAAGTTAACAAGAGGTTCTATAGAACCGATCAGAACCGGTAGAATCCCACCCCTGATGTTACCTTTTGCAACCTTCTGACAATTAAATTCAATGGGGAAGCTAGATTCACTTAACAATCCTTGTTACTAATAGTAACAACTTCAGTGATTCACTTAACAAATGTAGCAAGAAAAGTGATAAAATGGAGCAAAACTCACTTCACACATTTCTCACTTGGCAACATAAATTCTGGGCCCAATTGTGGTCATAAATCGAGGACTATCAGTAGTAGCCTAAGCTAAATTAATGTCTAACTCAAGATTACTCAGTTCTGTGTTATATTTCACTATTAACTTCTAGATCATTTCATTATGATACTTTCTGTACTAATGTACTAATACACATAGCATGTGTATGAACACTAATACCTCTTCAGCTCATCGCCCTGTAGTAGTAGGTTATCAGGATGTGAGGGAGGTATGTCTACTTCAGAATTGCAGCACTACTTTTTTTGGTTTATTTGTTTGTTGAAACTATTTTTTTTCTTTTGTTGTTTGTTATAAGGGGGTAACATAACTTTTTAGACATCCCTTTTAGGAATTCATAGAAAAATGTTTTTTTCAATTTCCACAAAAGGGAGTGATATTATTATAAAAGCCCATAATCCAAGGTAATTCATTTTTCTCCTCACTTCCTATCAAGGTATTTTTTAAAATACAAGTTACTTATACTGAACTGTCTAAATACCCTTACTGATATCTGTGCAGCCTAGTTCTATACATAGTGAGTTCTGCATGAAGGACTGTTAGTTTCTTTTCAAATAAATTTACAATTAAATTTAAAGACACTCTCCAATTTTTAATTCTCTTTTTTTTTCTTTCATATTTTCCTAGGAACTAACTTCACCCTTGCTGAACTAGGAATTTGTGAGCCCTCCCCTCACCGAAGTGGTTATTGTTCAGATATAGGAATCCTTCAGCAAGGCTATTCCCTCAGTACTGGGTCTGATGCTGACTCAGATACAGAGGGTGGAATGTCTCCCGAGCATGCCATTCGACTTTGGGGGAGAGGGATTAAATCCAGACGGAGCTCTGGTCTGTCAAGCCGTGAAAATTCTGCCCTTACTCTGACTGACTCTGACAATGACAATAAATCAGATGAGGAAAACGGTAGGCCTATTTCTGCAGTACATTTTGTAATGTATATGCATAGGTGACAATGTGATCGCACATGCTTGCCATATTAGACAGTAAAACAAAAGCTGTATTTCCCTTGTGAAGTCAAAATGCTGGTTCGTAGTATGCTTCTATGGGGGAAGTGATCTAATTTTTTAGGGAACCGTGAAAAAGAGGTTTAACTCATCCTGATTGCAAATATAGAAATTATATTTGGATAAGAGTCTGTCATCAAATGACATTGTTATCTCTGAATCTTCAAATGAAAAAAAATGGAACTTTGCGGATACATATAAAATTTATTTAATATAAATACTTTTTCAAAAAAAATTATAAGGTTGTATATCATTAATTTTGGTAGTTGATGAGAGCTAATCAAAAATCATTTTCTAGTTCTAGAAATGATCAAATCCTACTAAAATATTTTGTTTTAAATTTTAACAGTTTTAGCTTAAACTTAGTTGCTAAATGAATTTCTATGAGCCACCAGTTTTCATATTAAGATATTAAGATAAGGATTTTATCAAACTGAAATAAAATTTCTGCTAACATGCAATTAAAAAAAATCTTAGGTGAATATATTTATAAAGAAGGAAGATAATACTTTTATTTTTCAAACAATTTATCTCTATGGACTATTATTAAATATATAAAGACTTGCCTTAGTGCTGGAAAATATCTGACTTTTCATCATAGTTAGTTTGTGAGAATCAATATATATTCGGTCCACTGATTTTCTAAACTTTCTAAAAAGCAGTATTATCATACACATTGACAGTGCTCTGGTTTAATACCATAGCATGGACACTTACAAAACTATCATTAGTTTTTCATGCTGCTGCCCAACAATGTTTTCATACATTAAAAAATGGTATGTCCTTGAGATCTAAATCAATAAACTGTTATGTATGTATCTCCTAAAATAGCGTGACAGGGATGTGCTGAGAAAGAAACAGTGAGAGAAAGTGGGGGAGGGAGGGAGGGAGGGAGGGAGGGGGAGAGGGGAGAGAAAAAGAGAGGTCCAATCTTGGAATTACAGATTTGTAGTTTCTAGAGATATTTTTTCTTGGTTTTTGTTTGTTTATTTGTTTGTATGTTTTTAACTGCTGTATGTTGTAATGTTTCATTCACTCACATGAAGGAACAGAATGTGTATTGTAGCACCTGAGACTTTGAAAATTAAGGTTTGGTTGCTATATTAATAATATTCAACAACTCTCAAGGGAAAAACAACAGTTTGATACTGAATGTTTTATCATTTTATGATTTTATCATTTCTCTTCAACATGATAAACAATTTTAATTTAGAATTAATTCAATGTTGGCAGTTTTCAGTATATTTTTAAGTATCTTAGGACACACTTAATTGCAATTAACATTCTAACTCTGAATATTCTCAACTACTGGCACTGATACCGTGTTTCTCCCACAATACGGGCCCCCCAATAGGAAGACCCAGCATGTTTTCTAGGCATAAAATGAAATTAAGCCCCTCCCCCCAAATTTAGGCCTAGTTTAAAACATGCAAAATGGGGGGGATGGCGGGGGGGAATTTGCCATTAGGAGTGCCCTTTGGGCAGCTACACCTCACCACCAGCCGCTCCTAACACCATGGTAGAGCACGGAGGGCTCCCTTACCCCTCCCTTACCTGGGTCAGCAGGCGGGCGGCGTCGGCGTGGATGGCTGGCAGCGTTTCAGCCACTTCTCAGGCCTCCGTAGCTTCCACAGTTCCCACTGGTGCTGGCGCCTCTCTCGCCAGCACCATCTCCAACAACAGCGTCTGAGTTGCTCCCGCTTTTCCCTCGTCCCCGTAACAACAGGAAAAAAAAGATTTTGAGGTACCTGGGAGCACCGTGTGCTGCGTTTTGGTTTAATCCCGAGCGGCTGGGTGGGTGTGAGAAGAGCCAAGCGAGCATCTCTGCTGCTGCTACCCTTGGTGCTCCAGCCTCGGGCTCTGCAAGTTTGCAAAAGTCCCAGTGCGCAGCCCGTTCCTGCATTCCAAGCGCCCAGGCCGAGCTGCAGCTGTCCTTCTCTCACCAGCGCCGTCTCCAATAACAGCAGCAACGGCAGCAGCAGCAGGAACCGTGGAAGTTACGGAGGTGGCTCCCCTACCTGAGAAGCAGCTAAAATGCTTCAACGGTTCCCACCGCTGCTGCCGCTGTTGTTGGAGATGGCGCTGGCAAGAGAGGGACAGCTGCAGCTCGACCTGGGCACTTGGAATGCAGGAACGGGCTGCACACCGGGACTTTTGCAAACTTGCAGAGCCCGAGGCTGGAGCACCAAGGCTAGCAGCAGCAGAGACGCTCACTCGGCTCTTCTCACGCCCACCCAGCTGCTCGAGATTAAACCAAAATGCAGTGCGCGGCACTCCCAGGTACCTCAAAATCTTTTTTTTTCCTGTTGTTACAGGGACAGGGGAAAAGTGGGAGCAACTCAGACGCTGTTGTTGGAAATGGTGCTGGTGCGCAGGGGGGCAGTAATTAATTCACCCCCGAAAAGACGTCCTAGCCGTTTTTTCGGGGCTCAAAAAAAAAAAAAAAAGGCCCGGCCTTATTTTGTGAGAAACATGGTATTAGTTTATATCCAGGAGCGAGGAAATTTAATTTAATTTTTATTGTTGGTGGAGTTGTATGACCCTGAATTTATAGTAGGTTTCCTTCACATATTGTTTAAAAATATAATTTTTGCAATTTTAATAGAATTTGTTTTGTATGAAGGTAGTAAATGCCAAAGACAGAAAGCACATATACTGTATCTCATTGGCATTTCACAATACTTCTAACAAGAATGAATTCAGTTTTGATATGTAATTATGATGTAAATTTCTTTTAAAAGTAAAGAATTACATCATTTAATCACCATTGCTGTCCAATAATAACATATTGATTTAAAATGTCACTTTTGTAGACATACAGAGGTAATTATGGAAGCTGCAACCTGTTGAACATGCATTTGCAGACTAGAGTTAATTATTTCCACTGCAGGAAATTAGTAGAACAGCTGAATCTCTTGTTTATCTATTCAAGATATATGGAAGGTACTGTGCCTTATCTGAATGTGTCAGCAAGACATTCTTTCAGTGTAGGCAGTGATTTGATATCTGCATCTGGAGAATTATGTATCTATGGAATACAATGTTCAGCAGAAACACCAATATAAATTGCACTTGTGCTCGCAAAATTAGCTTCTCCATGCCCACACTTTCAAATATGCATTGAAATGTCTTGGGAGGTACAAATAAAAATGTAAGTGTTATAATTCTTCTTTTAATTATATATAGAACGTTTAAATAATTTCCATGGCATTTTCTTACATAAATAAGTACTTTGAGAGAGTTAAAAACAAAACAAAAAAATGGGATAGCAGAGACAAAACTTCTAATACTTAAATTTAGGAATGTTAAGCTTTGTAATTTTAAATTTTAAATTGATTCACCAATAATTTTCAATCTTCAGTCCTATACATTTTTATCCAGATTAATCTGAAATGAAACCTGTACAAAATTACTTTCACTTGTAATGTGGGTTATCTAGCATGCATCTTCAGATGAGTGCCATCTTTTCTGACAGCTGAGAAAAAATACTAATATCTCTTGAGTTCATCGCCCTGTAGTTGTAGGTTATCAGGATGTGAGGGAGGTATTTCTACTTCAAAATTGCAACACTACTTTTATTAAGTAATTAAATAATAAGGATGATTCAACAGTATATACTAGGGATTCATTGTGTTGTGTTAATCAGTTAAATGGGATTGGTGGGCTTTTCATAACCATAAAATTAAAGCAGAGAATTTAACTACTGCTTATGTTAACTTTTAGTCAATATCTGTTATATCATTTGAAGAAATGTTACATGTTGTTGTTTCTGTACATGTCATTTGCCAATACTTGACCTACAAGCTATCATTGTAATTTTTATTGTTGCTGTTCTATTCCATAATTATACTTTAATTGAGATATAAACATAAAGGGTAGTAAAAATAATCTTGGGAGACAGAAAGAAGAAATGCAGACTAGATAATGGTCAGAAAAAAGATAACTTAGTCCACGAAAGGAATGGATGTATGGAAAGTGCTCAAGAAGATAACTTGCCTATTTCTCTGGAAAATTAAGTGAAGGGAATACCTTTTAGACTTGCAAGATTGGCACCAATCTTTCAAACTAATTGAAAAGAAGAAACCAAAACCATTACATTTATTGTAAGTCTGAAAATACACCTTCCATGACTCCGTTCTTTGCAAATCTGGAACTATGCCTTCTGTGGCCTATTCTTTCTATTGGCTCTTCCTCCTGTCTCTTAGAGTTATCATAACACTCCATCACAGTAAAATTTTGGGGACCATAAAGAGAATTGAATTGCTAGTCTAATGAAGAGAAGGACCAGGGGAGACATGATAGCAGTCATGTCTGAGGGGCTGTCATAGAGAGGAAGGGATCAGCCTATTTTCCAAAGCAACTGAAGGCCAGACAAGGAACAATGGGTGGAGGAGAGACTCAACCCAGAAATAAGGATAAATTTTCTGACAGTGAAAACAATCAGCCAATGGAACAGCTTGCATTCAGAAGTTGTGGGGCTTCATCACTGGAAGCTTTCAAGAAGAGACTGGACTGCCATCAATGGTGTAGCGCAGGGGTTGGACTAGATGACCTATAGGGTCCCTTCTAACTCTGTTATTCTGTTATTATTATTTTATGAACATTATATAGATTTTTTATATTTTATGATAATTACATAGATACAAAAACTTTATTGCCATTTTTTACTGTGGGCACACTGGCACACATTAAAAATGAAATACTGTTGGCTGATCTCAAAAATGTGCACATATATAACACATATTTACACATGCTATATGCACACACACACACCAACACATATGAATACATTAATAAATACATATATTAATAACTTCATCTTGAATACATATCAGAAAGAGGAAGCTTGAGAGTTCACAAGGTTGATATTATATGGAACAAAACTGGGACTGGATCTGG